AATTCTACGGAGCGATTAAACGATTAAGTAAAACTTCAGTCTATCTCCTTTGAGGAGAAACATCCATATATTTCAGAATTCAAACTGAATACTTTTTTGTGTGAAATAGGCATAAAAGAACGCATTTAGCCATAAACGAAATCCTAAACCTAGACAGTCATGGTAGACACATAACTGCATATAAAATAACACCAATAAACATAACAAATACAAACCAGAATAAATAATGGAAAAATCAACACAGTCAGCAAATTTTCTTCAAATTCCTTCAAATTAATTCCAAAAAGACTCTCACTAAATTGTCAATTTGCATATAACTGATTATTCTATGATGACAAATAAAAAAACTTTCATCAGTCTCTGTTCATAGAATCCCTACAGTGTGGAAACAGGCCATTCAGCCCAACAAGCCCACACCACCCCTCCGAAGAGCATCCCACCCAGACCCATTCCCCTAGTCTAACCCACCTAACCTAAAGATTCCTGGGCACTATGGGCAATTTACCTTAGCCAATCCACCTACCCTGCACATCTTTGGGCTGTGGGAGGAAACCTGAGCACCTAGAGGAAACCCACGCAGACACGGGAAGAATGTGCAAACTCCACACAGACAGTCACCCAAGGCTGGAATCAAACCTGGGTCCCTGGCGCTGTGAGACAGCAGTGCTAACCACTGAGTCACCATGCCGCCATGCTATGTTGCCATGAAGAATTGCAGCTAAGTATGAACCAGACCTGGCTTTGTTATTTTCTAGGATCAGACATATTCAGGATAATGATAGTACAGTAGCAACAACTAATATTTAGCATAACATAACAGTCTCAAGGTGCTTCTCTGGAGCGTTATAAAATTCAGGGTTTGAAAAGGTCTAGCTGGTGAACTCAATAAATCTGGAATTTAAAAAAAATAGTCCAGTGATGAGCATGAACCCATTGTTGTAAACAGCAATCTAGACCATGTATGTTCTTTAGGTCTAAAGTGTACCTCCAGACTTGCAGCAATGGGATGAACTCTAAATGCTGTCTGAAATGGCCTAGTCAATTAATTGTCTCTAATCACTACAAAGCCTAAGAAAAGGAATGAATCTAGTTGGCACTAGGGATTGAAAACAACAATAACAAATGTAGTCCTTCGACCTTTCCTTGTTAACATTTGGGGGTTTGTTCCAAAAGTGCTTGCAGTGTCCAATGGACTAGTCAAGTAACAGCCCAAATAGTCATATTCGCAGAATCATACCTTACAGATAATGTCTTAAACATCACCACCATCATTTGTGTATGTGCTGTTCTACCAGTAGGACAGACCCACTGGAGTTGGCAGTGAAGTGGCATACAGATATAAGGACATTGCCCCCGAGAATCCTTTCATCATTGTCTCTGAACCTCTGGAGGTCTAACAGACCAAACATGAGCTCAAAACCTCTTACTGATTATCACCCACAGCCTCTTCTCAGCTGAGAAATTTGTACTTCTCCATGTTCGACACGACTTAGGGGAAGCACTGAGGGCAGCAAGGATACAAAATGTATTCTGAGTGGTGGATTTCAATATCTATTAGCAAGAGTGGCTTGATGGCACCATTAAGGACCTTCCCCATCAAGTCTATAGGTAAGTCAAATATACTTTTTCCAGATCCTGTCCTTTTCAATACCATTTCTATGCTATACAAACAATAATAACATATTGATATTAAATATACAATGAGTTTCATAGCCACCATATTTCACAAGTTCATTTGCATCACAGCACACAGTTTTCTTTATATGTGCTGCTGATAAAAGATTCACTGTATCATTTCCTTTTTCAGCAACATGAATAATTTTTAAATTGTGTGGCTGGAGATTTAAGCCCAACCAAAACAACCATCTGTTCTTGTCCCAAAACATTTCCAAAAAAATTCAGAGGATTATGATCCCTATGAATAGGTTTCTTCCACATTGTTGGTGATATATGTTTCAAAGTGATGCAGAGACAACACAAGACTCAATACCTCCATCTCAACCATTAAATTTCTGTTGACATGCAACTTTACTAAAAAATAACTGTCTGGCCATTTGATTCCTATCCTCTCATCTTGCAATAAAATGGTAACCAAACCAATGTCACTGGCATCAAAAGTTAGTTAAAATAGCTTCTCATAATTTGGCACTGCTAAAGTGGATGTGGTTGTCAACACAGCTTTCAAGTTGTATCCATTCTACACAATCACAAGATGCCCAGACTAACTGCCCAAAGAACAAATTCAAATCCAACCGTACTGTTTGAAATTTTGAATTTATTTTCTGTTATTTAAGACTGAAATGTTGGTTTCAGTAATAGTAACTATAGCACAATGGCTTGTTTCAATCTCTGGTTCACTAAAATCATTTAGAGAAGTAAACCTGATGTCCTCTGATCTGGTTTATATCTGACAATTACACTCCTATGTTGCTGACCTTTAACTGTCTTCTGACAGGATCAACATGGCAGAATCAGTATAAAATTAGCAATCAACTTAAGGGAAAGGAGACCAAGGGAAACAATTACTCACACTCTCTCTACCTAAAGAGTAATAGTCAGACATAGCACGAACTGCAGATGCTGGAGTCAGAGTCAACACAGTGTGGAGCTGGAGGAACACAGCAGGTCAGGCAGCATCAGAGGAGCAGGAAAGTCAATGTTTCGGGTCGGGACCCTTCATCAGAACTGGCTTCAGCATTTGTAGTTCTTGCTATCTCTGCGTGACTTAAAACCCTACTGCGAAGCCTCTTCCAAGGATGCCCACCTTGAAGAAGTCATCCTCCACCCTCCAGAAAGACCTCAGTGAATCTCTCTCCCACTGGTGATCTCCTCTGCCCTAGCACTCTTTGACCACATACTAAGACAAACAATCCACTCTGACTCTGTCCTATCGTCATTTAAAATATCATGATGAGATAGATCCTTGGATTTCTTCATCAAGGCCATTTTCCTCACTCTTTGGGCATGTTCCTTCCTTACTGAGAAACGATATTCTGGCTAAGGAGGGAGAGCAATCAAAGTTTACTAGACTGATTCTTGGGAATAGCAGGACCAACGCAAGAACAGAGAATGGATCGGTTAGCGCTATATTCACTGGAGTTAGAAGAATGGGGATTGGGGGAATCTCATAGAAACGCATAAAATTCTAACAGGACTAGAGTAAATGCGGGAAGGATGCTCCCGATAATCCAGAAGTCCAGAACCAGAGATTACAGACTAAGGATATCGGTAGGCTGTTTTGGACTGAGATGAGGAGAAATTTCTTCACTCAGAGAGTGGTGAGCCTGTGGAATTCTCTGCCACAGAAAACAATTGAAGCCAAAATATTGTATGTTTTCAAGGAGTTAGTTGAAGTTACTAGGGCTAAAAGGATCAAAGGGTACGGGAGAAGCAGGATACTGAATTGAATGATCAGACATGAGCATATTGAATGGTGGAGCAGGCTTGAAGGGCTGAATGAAGTACTCCTGCTCCTATTTTCTAAACCTCTTATCATTAACCCTTGTCATCCCAACCACTCCAGCCACGAAACCTCATTGTAAGGTTTTGGAGTAAATTTGTAGCTCGGGTTGTGGATGTTGAGGTTGGTTGGCTTGCTCGCTGAGCTGGTTCGTTGTTGTTCCGCAGACATTTCAATAATTTGCTGGGTAACATCATCTGATGAAGCGCCGCTGTGTTCTATTGGGACAACATCAAGATCCTGAGACAAGCAAAGCAGAGACAGGCACGGGAGTTCCTAGAAGCCTGGTACTCCACAAAGAAACACATCAACAAACACATTGATCTCAAACCCAAATACACTCCATTGCTAAGGAAAACTGGAAGTGAGGTAATCCAGCTCAACGGACTCCAGAGTTTAAAAACCAGGCGGGAAAACACAACGGCACTTCACTGGAGGCTGCACTGAGGATGTTACCCAGCAGGGTATTGAAACATCTGCGGAGCAACAACGAACCAGCTCGGCGAGCCAACCAATCTCAAACAGCCTCAGTGTATTGAGGTCTCTCCCCACATCTCTCTATCTCTACTAACTGTATGTCTTCTGTCAGGTGTCTTGAGCACCTTTCTACTGCACCCACCCACTTAACTCTCTTCTTGTTCCATCTGCTCATTGACAAAGTCACAATTTGGTCATGCATTTAACCCTTGCAAAACTGTTATCACAATCTTCTCTGGAAATAGAAAAATACTTAATTTACATTTCTTCATTCTTTTCCTGGGAAGCAGGCACTACTGGCAACAATCCCTAATTGCTCTTGGACTGAATGCCTTGCCTGCCCATTTCAGAGGACAGTTAAGAGCCAACCACATCACTGTAGGTCTGGAGATACATGGGGGTCAGACTATGTAAAGATGGCAGAGTTTCTTCTATAAAGGCCATTAGTCAACTGGATGGGTTTTTAAGATAACTAATGATCTTTTCGTGGTCGCCATTAATGATTTCAATTTCTGATTTCCTAACTGCTATGAGATCTGAAAATGGGCATTGACTGGGCCTCTGGATTATTTGCTCAGTGGCATTACTATTATGCATCCTCTTCCCTTGATCTAGCCATTCCATCCAATTACCAAAACTAAACGAAAATGATTTGAAAGTCTGTGTATCTCAACCTGTGATTTACACTACAAACTTTTAAGATTTGAGGAACAAGAAACAAAGTCAAATAAAATAGAGAATTACATAAATGCAGAAACCAACTGCATAGTCAAAAACACCTTGTCTGAAAATAGGTGTTCTTAATAAAATAGATGTTACAGCCATTACTTATTAGTTTTAGAATCTGTATGCTTTAGAAAGCTGTTCTTCCAAAGGAACTTTGTCCACTCCAGTCCAACACCAGCACCTCCACATCATGGCTTCCAAAGACCAGGTGAATTCATCATCTTAATTTAAAATGGTAATTAAAAAACCTTACATCTGACAAGTTTACTTCAAAAAAATAAAAATAAGGTTGTGACTAGCTCTATTCTACATTCTCAGCAAATCTCACTGGACTTACCTATCTTAGGAATCAAATTATTTTGCAAGTAGACTATTCTCAGATCTCTGCACCATTTATCAATGTATTCGATTCTCTCTATTTCTTGCTGATGTAAGGAAATTTCTTCCAGTGAAAATATTTCGCAGTTATTATGTTCTGCTCGTTGCCGTATCAAATTTTCAGTGACTGTAAGATGGCAAATAGGCAAAACAGTTAAGAGCGGACTGTTTACAAAAATAAAGTACTTTTAAAATAACTAGCAGTTGACTGTTTCAGCAAAGAAAATTACGTGTTTTAGATGACACACCAAACTGAGAAAATTCAGCACCACTTAACCATCATCTTGCTATCATTTAAGAATATAACATTGGAGATATTTTTCTTTTGCCAACAGGTACCATGGGGTATTCTAATACCGAGTGTGTGGACAAGGTGATTGTACATTTGACGATGACTTTTCTGCGCTCAGAGGGAGTATTGGTCGGTTATAATCCCGATTCAAACGCCCTTTGCTGGGTCCAACAGTTTAAGCCACATCCTGCCTATTCCCAACATCGAGCACTATCACCGGCAGGAGAGCTCACTCAGCCAGGCCCAGGGAGCAGAGCTGTAACTCGGCACTGAAGTGGTGGACGGACAAGGCAGGCAGCCTCGGAAATTTAATTATTGAATAGTGAGTTTCTGCTCTTTTTGCTCTCACTCACTTCGCACCATCGCGGCCTATCCTTGAAACTTAACGAAGCCAAAGCTGCATGCGTAACCACGGTGACCAGAAGCACCGCCTATTACTTTCGACGTCATCATCAGCCTCGCCCCGTGCTGTAACCGGGGAAACCGCCAACGCATCCCGGGCTGTAACTAGGGAAACCGCCAGCGCATCCCATACTGTAACTAGGGCAACCGCCAGCGCATCCCCTGCTGTAACCAGGGAAGCCCCCAGACACCATAACCAGATTGCATTTCCGAAGGAGGGTCCCGATCCGAAACGTCTGCTTTCCTGTTCCTCTGATGCTGCCTGGCCTGCTGTGTTCATCCAGCTCCACACCGTGTTATCTCTGCATTTTTGTTTATCTGGTTCAGGTGGAGGGAAGTCTGGTAAAAACAAACGGAGTTGTAGGGAACAAAATCAGAAATTACTGGAAAAGCGCAGCAGGTCGAGCAGCATCTGTGAAGAGAAGTCAGAGTTAACGTCTCGGGTCCGGTTTTTATTTAGCTCTCTTCACAGATGCTGCCCGACCTGCTGAGCTTTTCCAGCAATTTCTGTATTTGTTTCTGATTTACAGCATCCGCAGTTCTTTCGGTTTTTATTTAGTGCAGGTCTAAGGAAGAATCCGAAACGTTAACTCTGATTTTTCCTCACAGCTGCTGCTAGACCTGCTGAGCCTTTCCAGCAATTTATTTTTGCTAGGGTTTTGTCATGTTCAGATTGAAACCCACGTGTTCTTCTGATAGTGTGTTTGAAGCATTATCACGTTGTTATCTGCAAAGTTCAAGGACAGTGGGACTTGACCAAACTTGCCAGAATACCAGAGCTTCAGATGCTGGAATATTCTATGCTTTATCTTTCAAGAATAGACCAAAGTGTTTTAGCTTTCAGAAGGCCCATCTCAAAAGAAAAATCCATTCATTTTCTTTTCCTGAAGAGTGCATGGATGCTTATGTGAGTTTTGGGACTATTTGGAGAGGTAAGCATTTATGTTTCTATATTACTGACTGGTTAACATTTAATAAAGATGCAATAATTTTGTTTAAATTATGCTTGAGATAATAAATTGTTGAGTTTGCTCAAAAAACCTGTTTAAAGTCTGATTGGGATAAAACGTTTTGTTTGTCATCTTGATAGCCAGAAAAAAAAGCATTCTGTACTTGGACGAGGGCAATGTGCACACTTCCATTCTCAGTTGTAGCTTTGTTAAAATAATTGCCTCTTCTTAAGACTGTAATTGATTGACTTATTGTTGTCATACACACTAAGATACAGTGAAAAGTGTTTTGTGTGCTATACAGGCAGATCATGCCATACAAAGGGCATCAGGGTAGCAGAACAGAGTGCAAAATACAACGTTACAGCAGCAGAGAAGGTACAGAGAGAGAGATCAACATTAACATTAACCTTAACATTCCGGCCCCCACCCACAACTCTTTCTCCGATACATCAACGATATCGTCGGTGCTGCTTCCCTCTCTCATCTGGAATTGGAAAACTTCATCAATTTCGCCTCCAATTTCCACCCTGCCCTCACTTTCACCTGGTCTATCTCTGACTCCTCCCTTCCCTTCCTCGACATTTCTTTTTCCATTTCTGGGGATAGACTGGCCACTAATATCCATTACAAACCCACTGACTCCCACAGCCACCTGGACTATACATCCTCACACCCCACTTCCTGTAAAGACTCCATCCCATTCTCTCAGTTCCTCCGTCTCCGTCGCATATGTTCAGATGAGACCAACTTCGACAAGGGAGCCTCCGACATGTCCACCCTCTTCCTCAACTGAGGCTTCCCCGGCTCCGTTGTTGACAGGGCCCTCAACCAGGTCCGACCCATCTCCCACACTTCCACCCTCACCCCTTCTCTTCCTTCCCGCAACAGCGATAGAGTTCCCCTTATCCTTACCTACCATCCCACCAGCATCCACATCCAGAAGATCATCAGATGCCATTTCCGCAACCTCCAGCAAGATGCCACCACCAGACACATATTCCCCTCCCCTCTCTTGGCCGCCTTCCGCAGGGACCATTCCCTCCAGGACACCCTGGTCCACACTTCCTTCAACCCCAACACCTCCCCACAGCCCTACGGCACCTTCCCCTGTAACCGGCGAAGGTGCAACACCTGCCCATTTACCTCCTCCCTCCCCAGTATCCAAGGGCCCAAACGTACCTTCCAGGTGAAGCAACACTTCACCTGCACTTCCCAGAATCTGGTCTACTGCATTCGCTGCTCACAATGTGGTCTCCTCTACATTGGGGAAACGAAGCGTAGACTTGGCAACCACTTTGCAGAACATCTACGTTCTACTCGCAAAAAAGACCCTGAACTACCTGTTGCCTGCCACTTCAATGCACCACCCTACTCTCTGGCCAACATCTCTATCTCTGGCTTGCTGCAGTGTTCCAGTGAAGCCCAACACAAGCTGGAGGAACAACAACTCATTTTCTGCTTGCGGACCCTACAGCCCTCCAGACTCAATATTAAGTTCAATAATTTTAGGGCCTAAACTCTCCCATGACCCAGCCCCCCACCCCACACACCATGCTTTGTTACCACATAGCCTGCCATTGCACACCCCCTATTGTTAGTCACTAACAGTCCCCATTAACAACTATTCACCCTCCCAGCCTGATTGTTAGCAACTCCTTTGTCTGTCCAACTGTCTTTCTCTCTCTTCGGGCTCTATCCTATCGTTTACTCCCTACCCCACCCAACTCCCTATTTTCTGCATATAAACTGACGTTTTCCCAGCCACCATCAGTTCTGAGGAAGGGTCACCGGACCTGAAACGTTAACTCTGTTTTCTCCTTCACAGATGCTGCCAGACCTGCTGAGCTTTTCCAGCAACTTTGTTTTTGTTCCTGTGTTAACATTTGAGAGGTCCATTCAAAAGTATGATAACAGCAGGAGAGAAGCTGTTCTTGAATCTATTTATACACTTAGTCAAGCTTTTATATCTTCTGCCCAATAGAAGAGGGTGGAAGAGTATAGACAGACTGAGTCGTCAGTCCTGACGAAGGGTTTTGGCTTGAAACATTGACTTCCCTGTTCCTTGGATGCTGTCTGACCTGCTGTGCTTTTCCAGCCTCACACCTAAAGACACAGGTTTTTGATTATGTTGGTTGCTTTCCCAAGGCAACCGGAAGTATAGATGGAGTCAATGGTGGAAGGCTGATTTGCATGATGGACTGGGCTTTGCTCACGACTCTCTGTAGTTGCCTGCAATCTTGTGGGCATGCCAGATTTCCTTAGCCTCCTGAGGAAGTAGAGACAGTGTTGAACTTTATTGACAGTCATGAGCGGACCAGAACAGATTGTTGGTGATCATCACTGCCAGGAACTTGATGCTCTCCACCTCACCACTATTGATGGACACAGGGGCATTCCCTCCATTCCACTTCCTGAAGTCAATAACCAGTTCTTTTGCTTTGCTGCTGTTGGAGGATAGGTTGTTGTCTTTACACCATGCTGCTAAGCACTCAATCTCATTCCTGTATTCTGTTTTGTTGTTGTTTGAGATCTATGGTGTTGTCAGGAAACTTGTAAATGGAGTTGGGGTGGAATTCGTGGTTCCACAAGACCATAAGTAGTAGGAAAAGGAATGAAAAAGTCGTATAGCACAGAAGCAGACCCCTCGGTCGAAATCTTTCATGCTGAGCTGGTTTCTCAAACTAAACTAGTCCTACTTGACTGCATTTGGCCCATATCCTTCTAAACCTTTCCTATTCATGTACCTGTACAATGTCCTTTAAATGTTGTAACTGTACCTGTATCTACTACTGCCCCTGACAGCTTACTCAACATACAAACGACCCGCTGTGCAAAGAAAATACTGCCCCTCAGGCCCCTTTTAAATCTTTCCCCTCTCACCTCAAAATTATGCCCCTCTAGTTTTGAAACTCCCCTACCCTAGGGAAAAGACCTTTGCTGTTCATCTTGTCTATACCCGTCATGATTTTATAAACCTCTATAAAAAGGTCTAAATTTACTAATCAGTCTATCATGCATAACCTTCTCAAAGGCTATACTAAAATCCCTGTAAACAACGTCTACTGCTCTGCCCTCATCTATCTTTTTGGTCATGTCCTCAAAAAACTCAACCAAGTTTGTGAGACACAATTCCCATGCACAAAGCAAAGCTGACTATCCCTGATCAGTCCTTCCCTTGCCAAGTGAATGTAAATCCTATCTCTCAGAATCCCCTCCAACAGCTTCCCACCAATGACATTAGACTCACTGGTCTATAGTTCCCAGGCTTCACCTTACAGCCTTTCTCAAATAAAGGCACAACAATAGCCATGCTCCAATCCTCTGGCACCTCACCCTTGACTGTAAATGATACAGATATTTCTGTTAGGGGCCCCACAATTTCTTCCCTTGCTGCCCACGACATCCTGGGATACACTTGATTGGGTCCCAGAGATTTATCTTTTATCTATTTATGCTTTTTAAAGCCCTCTAGCACCTCCTCTATTGTAATGTGGACTGCTTTCAAGACATCAATATTTATTTCCCGGAGTTCCCTAGCCTCCACGTCTTTCTCTGCAGTAAATACGGAGTCAAAATATTCATTTAGTATCTCTCCCATCTCCTGTGGTTCCACACATATACAACCTTGTTGATCTTTGGAATATGTTTAACCTTATTTACTGAGACTGTCTCATATCCCTTTTTTGCCCTCCTGATTTCCCTCTTAAGAATGCCCTTACACCCCTTATACTCTTCAAGAGATTTACTTGATCCCTGTTGTCTGTACTTAAAATATGTCTCCTTCTTATTCTTGACCAGAGCCTTTATTCATCCATTGTTCCCTACTCCTACCAGGCTTACCCATCACTAACAGGAAAATACTGCCTCTGAACTCTCATTATCTCACTCTTGAAAGCCTCCTACTTGCCAGTCATCCCCTTACCTGTGAACACTCTACTCCAATCAACTTTTGAAAGTTCCTGTCACATACCATCAAAATTGGCCTTACTCCAATTAAGAACTTTAACTTGCATACAAGGCTTATCTTTTCCATAACTATTTTAAAACTAATAGAATTACGATCACTGTGCACTCCCACTAACA